TTTACAAAGAAAATAAATAATATATTATAAGATAATAAAAATATAGATCCCAAATATGAAATAAAATATAATATTTAAAAATAGAAACGTGATAATAAATATAGTAATATATAATATAAAAATAGGAATATTTATAAAATAAATAAAAAATATAAGAATATATAATTTTATATAACTAGGAAAAGATTAAGAAATTAAGAAATTTTATGTTATTATGATAATAATACCTATCTGATAATATATATATAATATTTTTTTAATAGTATATATATAATATATCTAAATAGTATATATGTAATATATTTGATAGTATATATATAATATACTTAATAGTATATTAGATAATATATATTTTAGTTATATATCTCTACAAATAATGATATAATTACAATTAGATTATCAAACTTATAATAAAGTTAATCTAATAGCATAACTTATCTTAATTATTTTATTATAATAGAAATTAATCAGAATTATAAGCTAATATATAATATCAAATAATATATATAATAGAAAATACAAAAAAACTAAATTAGAATATCATAATTTAAATTAAATATTTCTTTATAATAGAAATTGATTAGAAATATCAAGCTAATATATAAAAATTTATATGAATAATTAAAATATTATTAATATCAAATTTGATTTTTTAAAGAATATATAAGCTATCTATTTATTAAAGTAATTAAAAATATAAAATATAACCTATTACTCAAGTAACTTGAGTTTTATAATTAATTTATTACTTGAGTAACCTGAGTTTTTGTAATTAACTCATCACTTAAATAACTTGAATTCTGTGATTAATCTATCATACATAATTTAAACTAAGTAAAAAAATATAATTATATTATTTCTATTTAAGTTTATTAAGATAATTTTTATTTATTAGAATTTTAAAAAGAATAATATAAGAGTATTAGATTTATTTATATATATATAAATTAGATTATTAAAAAATTAAATAAAAAATAAGAAATAATTTATCTAAAATAAATAAATAATTATTTAATTAATTAAATAAATTACTAATTAATTAATTAATTAATTAGTTATAATTTATTATTATAATTAATTTATTAATTTAATTAATTTAAAATTTATATAATAATATAATTATATAAAAATTATTTTTCTTAAATTTATTATTAAAAAAGTATAATAATAATTATAATTTAATTATATTTATAAAAAGAATAATTTAATAATAAAAAAATTAATTATTAAAAAAATGTAACTATATAGAATTTGTAATTATATAATAAATAAATATAAAAATATTAAACTATATTTAAATATATTAAACTTTTTAAAATTATTAATAAAATAATTTTTATTTTATATAAACTAAATTTATTTTATACTATAAAATTATATTTAATATATCATATTTTATTATTAAAAAAATATAATTTAAATAATAAATTTAATAAAATTATATTATTATTATTTTAAATAATAAAGAAGAATATAAAATAAAAAGTATTTTTAATAAATATATATATTATTATAAATTTAAATATTTTATTAAATAACTAGATTAATTTTTTCATAATATTATTTAAAAATCTTAAAAAATAGCATGAAAATATATATTTAAAAATTTAAGTATTTAAATATAATAAAAATATTATATTTTAAATAAAAGTATGTAATTTTAAATAAATTATATTTTTTTTTAATTTAAATTTTTATTTTATACTTTTTATATTATATTAATTAATTTATATTACTTTTTTTAAAGAATAATTTTATATTAAATATATAGCTAATTATATTAAATTAATTAAATTATTATATATTATTATATTAATAATTATTAATTTAGTTATTATTTTTTTAAATTATTTTTTATTATTTTATTTATATTTTTATTCTTATTTATATTATTATTAATTTATTAAGTTAAATATAATATTATTTTTCAAAAATATAATTTAAGATAATTAATAAACTTAATTATATAAAATTTATATATATTTTAGATTATTAATTTATTTATATTTTAGATTTATTTTATTTATATAAATATATTTTATATTGTAATAAAATTATAAATGTTTATAAATTAAAATTATTTAAATTATATTTTATCTTATTTATATAAATAAATAAATAATTTTATAAAAAAATTTAAAATATATAAAAATAATTATAATTAAAATCTTTAAAAATAATTAATAATTTTAATATTTAATAATTATTTAATAATTAATTTATTAATTTTCTTTTTTAAGAATAATAATAATAATATTTTTATTAAACTTATATAATAAATAAAATAATTTTTAAATTAGTTTAAAAATATTATTCAAATATTTATATAATTAAATTATTAATAAATTTTTATTTAAATTATTTAAAATTTTATTTAAAAGTTAACTCTAATAATAAATATATAAATAAGTTATTTTTAAACTTGAATATATCTTTTAAATAAATTAAAATTATAAATTTAAGTATATATTTATTATAAATATAATATTATAATATTATTATATATAAATGATAAAATTATATATATGTATTTAACTTAAAAAAATAATAAATTTAAAATACTTACAAAAAATTATTAATAATTATAATTAAATCTTTTTATAATTATATATTTTTATATTTATATTTTTATAATTATCTTTTTTAAGTTTTTTAATTTTTTTTATAATCATATCTCTTTTTAATTATTTAAATTTACTTTTTTAACTATAATAATTATAAAGAAATTTAATTATATATATTTTAAAAAAATAATATTAAAAAAATTAAAATTAAGTTTAATATTAAATTTATTTTAAGTAAAAAAATAATATAAAAATAAAAATAAGTTAATTATATCAATAATATTTTACTTATAATAATTTTTATAATGAAAAAAAACTAATACTATTACAATATATCTTATTAAAAATATTTTTAAATTCTTGATTTACTAATTATTCTTTAAAATAAAGAATTTGTAATGCAAATTATTATAAAAATTTGCAAGATTCTTAATATTAAGATCAAACATAATTAATAATAAAAGAATTGAAAATATCTTTGTTATAATATATATATAATGACTTGTGAAAAAATTCAAATAAAATGATTTAAATGGATTTTTATTCATATTAATATATTTCAGATTTATTAATATTTACTTTATTAGGTAAAATCATCCCATTTGAATTTTTTTTCAAGAAATTTCTTATAATTTGATTTTTTAAGCCAAGTATGCTATAGATGATGATAGAATTTTCGGCAATCTGGATAAATCTTGCTAGAAACTTCGCGAAAGATAACGTCATTAAGCTTGTGAAATGATTTATCTATCAAGTTTTTTTTTAAAATAGTGTTGCCGATTATTTCTTTTTTATATGCGAACGACTCCTATTTTACGATTTTTCAACACCAAAATTTACAACAATACGTTAAATAATTGATTTTGACACTCGCTCATAATAATGTCAAGGTAAGTGAACGAGAAAATGTGTACGCGTAAAAATTTCCACAGTATAGTGTTTCTAATGCTACTCGAATATTTGTGTCTCAAGTACCCCGCTTCATCCTGAAGTTCTCTGGGCACAACGAACTGACGTAATATACGTTACCATAAACCTTTCTGATGTCAATGAACCCGAACTCGAAGTGACTAAGGATAAAATATCTTTTAAAGGCAAAGGCGGCGCTGAGCAAAAATTGTATGCTTTTGAGTTGAATCTTTACCAAGAGATTAATCCAGAGGTATTGATCATCTTTTTCTTGATGAACCAATGACATTAATAAATTTCAATTCGTGAATTTTTGATTTCATCATTTATTAAATGTTTTCTCTCATGATTGCTTAAAAAAGGCATCCAAGCAATCCCAAACGGGACGCAGTATATTCCTTGTTCTTGACAAGGCGGAACATGGTCAATCATACTGGCCGCGTCTTACAAAGGAGAAGGTAAAATTGCCGTACTTGAAGACTGATTTCTCAAAATGGAAAGATGAAGATGAGGAAGAGGGTGGTGACCAAGACGCTTTAGGTGGAATGGACTTTTCTAATCTAATGGGTGGTGGTGGTGGTGGTGGAGGGGTAAGTAAAAATTTTTTGTTCATTTCAAACGTTTATCTTTCTTTTCATTAATAAACCTTCTAATTTATATTGTACGCATGCTATGTTATTATTAGATGGACTCTGATGATAGTGATGAAGAACTTCCCGAATTGGAAACTACCTCTGATTCCACAAAGATTAATACAGAACCAGTGGCTGTCGAGAAGCAAGAGGCCAAAGAACCCGAGGGTGCTGAAAAGACTGAAAAGGCCGAAGAGGCTGAAAAGACGGAAAATGAGGTCCAAAATGAAAAATAATGATGAGAATCACGACAATAAAAATACACTTTTATATTAAAGCAAGGGAATGAAATTTTCGAATTTTCGAGAATATATTTTATATACAATCTTGTATACATATGTGGATATTTTAAATGTCCATATTCAACTAAACAACGAATGATAAGAGAAAAAAAGATTACTACCTTGCTAATAATATTCATTACAATATAATCATAATTGTAATAAGAGTAATTAGTAACAATAATAATAATTTACAGTGTAGCATCTACAAATAATAATGATAATAGTAATAATCATATAAATAATAACAAAACTAATGGCAACTAACGCTTCTTAGAACATTGGAAAAAAAAATGACAAATTGATTCCTTTTCGCTCGTTATCTTATCAAAAAGACTAATAATAAATTACGCAGGAAAAAATGTGCTATTTATATTTATCCCGGAAATAAGATATAAAGTAATAGAAGCAATAATGTTGAAATCTACAAAGGCTACAAGGTAATAGAAGCAATGATCTTAAAAAATCTACAAAGGATAAGACGAAAAAACGCAATTTTTTATAGAAAACCCTAATAAATATCAAATAAAAAAAACCAAGCTTAGAATATATCAATTAAAATGCGTTACCTTGCAATAGTTTTACGATCAGAATATGGTTCTGGTCATTGATTTTAATCGTGACCATCCATATGTTGCAATGTCCAAAATAGAGAATGTTGCTGACTCCTAATAATAATAATAAACTGTAGCAAAAAAATAATGATAATAATAATAAGAATAAATAATAATAGCTATTTACCTGTTTTTCTGGTAATTGTCTTTGTTGAATGTTATCTTGATTCTCTTGCGTTTCTTCTTCTATCATCATGTGTTCTTCCTCATTTGTCTTCTCGGGAATATCGTATCCCTTCATCTTTAACCATTCAACTGAACGGTAATGCAAATGCAAAATAGCCAATGGCTCACCTTCCTCCTTTAAATGAATTGTATTACGTGGCTTTTTATTATGCGTTCTTTTCTTACGGCGATGATTTTTAGGGAGTGGTGAAATTTTATTTTTTTTTGATGTGATGTCTTTTACATGTTGTTGTTGTTGTTGCCCTTGTTGCCCCCTCATCTGATAATTTTCACGTGGAGTTCTTTGACGTGTTACCACCACTCGTCGAGCTTTATAAAAGATTACCGACACAACCCCAAAGCTACCAACTTCGAGTGCCCCATTCTTTCCGGTCCATTGCTTCGTACCGAATTTGAATTTTTGTTTTTTTATTCCTTCTTCTTCATTCTCGAAGGAACCTTGTGATACTGATTTCGTGGTGCTATTATTGCTGCTGCTTCTGGCTAATGCAGTGTATGTCCAATCATATTCGCCATCAATGTGTACGTTTGCTGATAACAGACCATTATTATTGTTGTGGGTTGAACCTGAAAATCGAACTTTAAAGTCCGCGTTCGGATCTCTGACCGCCGCATACACTATTTTATCACTAATAAGGTGGAGAGATTTAATACAAGAATCTCATTTTAATTTTAATGCTTTCAAGATTCCCTAGAAAAGATATTGTATAGTAAAATACGTATGATATTGATAACGAAATAAACCTTATCCGCGGCTCATGTGTATCTGCATCTCTGATATATGAACTGTCCGCACGAGTCTAAAATAAAGGAAAATTTGAGTGGAAAAATTTTCTCATTGGAACGTTAGAATCTTTTTCAACATATATATTCTAACGCATACAGCTTGTTCTTGGATGGGTTCACTATATTCCTCAAGAGGTATCCCATCAACCAGCAGCTCAACTGTAAAACCTTCCAAATGCATTTTATGGTTAGATATTAAATTAACAAGTATATTCTTCGGGAAGGAAAGAGAACGCGAACTTGAAAAAATTTCTAATGATAATTCGAGTCGCGTCCGAATTCGATAGACTTTGATTACGTGTATCAATTCCGAATTAACCAATCACGTTTCATGAGAACGCACGCATTTTTTTGAAAAAAGTCGCGAATTATCTTTTTTCCTTCCTTCTAGCAATAATGACCGAGTCAGAAATAATTTCTCACATTCCTAATTTAGATCTTGCGCACCAGCGCTTTATTTTGAATAATCCAAAAGCTGTTGAACTTCATGATGAGGCCAGGGAAAAATTGATTGCTGCAATTGAGGAGAATAGTTAGTTTGCTTCTATATATATATAAATATGTAGAAAAAGTTATTTGAAATTGGAACATACCTGTTGAGTTACAAAGATGTTAATTCGTATTTAATATCACTTGCAGATATGGCACCATTCTATCAAATTGTGACAGATGAACTCAAGATTCCTCTTGACAAACAACTGCTCGCCAAATATCAAGAAGCTAACAAAGAGGAGCTTCAAAAACTTGATGAACGTCTAGAAGACGCTGAACAAAATTTAGGCGAAACTGAAATAAGTGATGCCCTTTTAGCAAAAGCACACTTTTACGCCAAAATTGGTGATAAGGTAATAAATAAATTTGATCTTATGATTTATTCGTAATGATGCTTGATTTTTTTGGCTTAAATAATAAATATTGATAGTTGATCAATTCAGGAAAATGCCCTTACAGCATATCGAGTTGCTCTGGACAAGACACCTGGATTAGGTTCCCGAATAGATATTATATTTTCTTTTGTGCGAATAGGTTTCTTCTTTAATGACAATGATCTCATTAGTCGAAATATTGAAAGGGCAAAAAGGTAAAATTTTTTCGATGATTATTCTTGTTTTTTATTAATAAAGAATATTTACTATTTTGGAATTAGTCTCATTGAAGAGGGTGGAGATTGGGATCGCCGTAATCGTCTTAAGGTCTACGAAGGCATCTATCGTTTATCCATTCGAGATTTCAAGACTGCGGCGAATTTATTTTTGGACACCCTTTCGACTTTTATGTCAACTGAATTAATGTCCTATAAAGAATTTGTAAAATATGCGGTGCTTGCCGGCGCTATTTCTTTAAAAAGAGTGGACTTGAAAAAGAAGGTTATTGAAAATTTTTTTGATCTTCTTATATGACGAATTAAGCAGATTAAAAATGTTGTATGTAAACTTTTTTCGCTATTAAATAGGTTATTGATGCACCAGAGGTATTGGAGGTCTTGCACGAAATTCCACATCTCGAAAGCTATATCAATTCGCTTTACAATTGTCAATATGCGAAGTTTTTCCAGGCTCTTGGTAAAATAAATAATATGTGAATTTTTTTTGCGATTCTATTTTATTTATCAATTTTTTGGAAATTCAATTCCTTGAATTCAGCTGATGTGGAAAGAACCCATCTTTTCACTTCTCGCTACATTTTTCCACATCAACGATATTATGTTCGTGAAATGCGAATTATCGCATACGCACAACTATTGGAATCGTATCGTTCTTTGACTATGGAGAGTATGGCACAATCATTTGGGGTGTCGGAGGAATTTATTGACAAGTGAGAAAATAGCATTTTTTTTTGGATGTTTACACAATGAATTTACTAAATATGATATTTTATATTTAGTGATGTGTCAAAATTCATTGCGGCTGGACGCCTAAATTGTGTTATCGACAAGGTAAATGGTATCGTAGAGACGAATCGTCCGGACGCAAAAAATGCTCAATATCAACAGACAATTAAGCAAGGGGATATATTATTAAATCGTATACAAAAGTTGTCCAGGGTTATCAATGTATAATTATTTAATTAAAACGCCGGTCTTTTTATTAATTCCACATCATCACATCCATACATTATCTACATGTTATTTTATATATATATATATATATACATATATTATCAAAAGACGACGATGACGTTTAATGACGGTTTTGTTTGTTAGGTGAAGGCTTTTATTTATTTGTTTAATGCTTTTACGAAAAAAGACGTTCTGTAATTTTTTATGGAGGATTCGATACCAATTATTTATGGAGATCAAAAAAGATTTAATAAACAGAGAATTACATAGAAACTTCTATATGTACTTTCTTGAAAACGTTTGTTCTCAAAACTGCTATAATCGTTTAACGCCCAAGAGCATTAATGTTTTTTTTTTAAGAAAGAACTACAGTCCGCCCACTACATAAAAGAAATAAAAATAATGTAAACACTAGCAGATTAATCAATGACTTCCCAAAATAAAATAGTAACCTGATTGTCTTCTTCTCAACAACCGCCGGTTCGGGTTTAGCCCTATTCAGGACCTTCAGAAAGGCTTGTACACGTGCTCGCATTCTCGAATGCATGTAAGCTTTTGAACACTTTATATGATAATGGAGGTAATCACGAAAGAGTTGGATTTGAGATATGGTTGCCTCTTTTACATCTGGTTTTATAAAGTGGCGAGGGAACAGGACTGGGAAGAGAATTTTATATATTAATTGATGAATCTCCTGTTGGGAGAAATTATTATTTTAATGCTGACCAAAAGTCACGTAGCCAATTTCTTCATTGTCTCCCAGAGATTGTAGTTCAGGTAAGTGCCTAATTTCTAGAGGAGGTTCCTTATTAGAGTAGAGAACTTGTGGTGCATTTTGGATAGCAGGACGACGACGAGCATCTACAAATTCCTTGATAATTAAATCAAAATAGGGGAAATATTTACTCTTCAAAGAAAATAAGTGACTATCAATCAAATCATGATGATTCTTACTTGTAGAAAAACTTTGCCGAAAATCTTATCAGTTTCCTCTTTAAACAAGGTCGAAAAAATCACGGTTACCCGATCATGTTGTGCCTGGATATAAATCGCTTCTTGCTCTCGATACTGAATTTGCATAAGATCCGGTGTAGGATCTGGTTGGTTTTCATCTTCGAATTGTCTTTGCTGTGTAAAGGCACGTTCGAAGGGTTGGGCCAAAAGATTTCGCTTGATAAGAGATAATTTATTGACCAGTTCTTCTCTATCCTCTGAAAAAAAAAGAATTAAGACAAACTTATTAACTTAATACTAAAAGGACGGCAACTTACATATTAATCAGCAGTTTATTAAAGTTATAACCAACCTTTGGCTTCGGGAAGTTCCTTCAAATTGAATTCAAGCGTTAAATTATATCCGCTTTCAACCTCGTCACAAAGATATGGTCCATAATATTTTTTAAGCATGTCGTTAGCACCCCACTTTACAAGTTCGTTAAAACATTGCCATGAGAGGGAGAAGCGTATGACAGTTTTTAAGGTTGGGGTCGAGATTCGGTAGACTACACCATCGAAATCTACCACCGTGGAATCCAAGGCCGTAGCTTCCAGACTGTGTGTACGTTTCGTTAGTTCGTGCGCTTAGGATGGGACAAGTATAGAAAGTTTATTATTTACCTCACCAAAGGTTGCAACGTTTCTTCAACTACAACGTTGTGGTAGTCTAACAATATCATTTCTAGATATTTTTTTTTAACTTTGGAAAAAAGTGAAATGAAGTTTAGTCAACTGTCAATGTAGAATTTTGGTGTAACTCAGCATTGGCAAATTTAATTACCAGATTTGCAGACGCGTTCAAAAAAAAACAATCACTTGAAAAAACAATGTTCACAAAGAATAAAATTATTTCTCAATCAAATAAAGAAATTCAAGTCCCACTTCACGAAGTTAACGTTATAATCGAGCCATTTGAGTATGAACTTAAACAAGCATACAAACCCACAGTTACTCGAAAGATGCACAACCCAATAAGAAAAACTTCGTCGCGTATTGCGTCACTTAGGGCTTGTAAAGGAGCGCAAGAAAAAGAGAACATCAACAGCAGCAACAGCGGCAGCAACAACATTTTTTCCACCCCAGATAATCCCTTTGTTGTGAATAAGGAAAATGATTCTGACGACGAAGGTACTTTGAATCTTCGAGGAGGAAAAAAGCGCCGAGTGGGAACGTTCGAACGACAATTGAGAAAAGTGTTAAAGGAAGATAATGAAGAGGAGGAAGAAGAGAAAGTGGAACAAGTACAAGTTATCAAATCTAAAAGAACTCGACAAGTAATTGCTGTGCATGAAAGAGACGAAAAAGGTTGGGAACGATACTTCGCAGACCATAGCGCATCATCAGCCCGAACTTCATTTCACACTCTTTCGAAACTTCCCGCGTTCGAACAAAAGGATTTGATTGAAACTATCAATTCGCTACCGTTAAAACACCAAGATCAATTAGATCTTATTAGCAAAAAATACGAGACTTTATTCTCTCAATGGTATTATCAACTCAGATGTGGCTTTAATATAATATGTTACGGATATGGTTCCAAACGAGGAATACTTGAGAAATTCGCACGTGCACGAGACGATATACACGTCCTCACTATAAATGGATTCATGCCCAAAACCACGCTCAAAACCATTTTACGCGACATTATTCAAGGTTACTTGAATGAACAACCACGCGGCTCAATGGAACAACAGACGAAAAACATTGTCACATACTTTTCAGCCCCAAATTGCGAAATCGATAAATTGTACCTGGTTTTCCACAATATTGACGCTCCACAACTTCGCGCTGAACAAACGTACCACTGTCTCAGCATCATTGCTTCTTGCCCAAATATCTGTCTTATCGCCTCTACGGATCACATCAACATCGGGCTGCTATTCGATCAGATGACCACGTCTCGTTTCAATTGGCTATGGTTTGAATTGGCCACCTTCCAACCCCACAAGATCGAACACAGCTTTCAAAACTCGTCGTTAATGAGTAGCGAATCTGAATTAAGCCCGCAAGCAGTTTATCACGTTTTATCAAGTTTGTCTCAACGTGCACGTGGTGTATTCAAGACTTTGATTGAACATCAGATTGCCGAAGCCGAAAAGTCAAGCAAACATCTCAAGCCTAAAGACACGGGAATAGAATATAATATATTGTATGATAAATGTAGGAGAGAATTTCATGTCAATAGTGATAATACATTCCGGGGACATCTAACCGAATTCCGCGATCATCGCATAATTCAGTCTTATCGAAGCGCTTATGGAACTGATATCCTTTACGTTCCACTGGATTCTGACAGGTTGAAGGGTATTGCTGAGAAATTAGAAGAACTGGGTGAAGATTAGATGTGCATGAACAAATACTGTTCTTATGCTTATTACTGTTCTATCCTGCCAAATATTTTATCCTCCTTGATCATTGTTAATATACTATAAAACTAGCATTTTCGTGCTTTTAATCCTTTACAAACATTCAATAACTTTATTGATAATCATAAGATTCTAGCACAAAATAAAGTCTCGATTAATATTAGAGCTATTCAACGTTTCTAACAACATCGTTGACAGCCTTGGCAAAATAGTCTATATTTTTCGTTGACAACCCGGCCATTGAAATTCTACCATTATCTGTCAAATAAATATGATACTTCTGTATTAATACCTGTACTTGCGATGCTAAAAGAAATTTGGGGAATAAAAATCTATTAGAATTTCAAGTACATAACTTTACGAATATAAACGATTAAGAAGATATTATCTATTTACGTTTTAATCCAGTGAAAGAAAACATTCCAATCTGATCGATAATATGATTCCATGTTCCCGGAGTCCCCAATTCGATTAGTTTATCGTACAGTTGTTTTCGCATATCCATAATACGCGAACTCATCGTCCGGAGATTATCGTTCCTATCATAGATAATAAATTTTAGTTCAAATGGTTTATTATACAGAATTAAAACGTTCAAAATACCCCTGCCATTACCATTCTGCATATAATTTGGGATCATGGAGAACCAAGTTTACAATCCGAGCACCGTATGCCGGAGGATTAGATACTTCGGCGCGTTGAAGCTTCGCTATTTGACTCTCAATTTTGACAGCAGCATCAGCATTCTTTGACACGACCGTCAAACAGCCAGTACGTTGACCTTTTTTTTGTTTCATTTCGTTAACTTTGAATCTTCTGAATAGTAAGAGAGCTGGAAATAAAATCGGAGAAATAATAATATTTACCGTATAGTCCAAAATTTTTCGAGTAAGATTGACAAACAAGTAGCTCGAATCCGCGCTCAACAAAGTAACGAACAGCCCATGCGTCCCTGTCTAAGTCGCCACTAGCGAATCCTTGATACGCACAATCAAAGAATGGGTAGTGACCTTTAGCCTGTCATTATTTGGGGAGAAATGAAATAGAACAGGAATTATCTACTAAAATATATTATTTTTCTTTCGCAAATCCAAAATTAATTTCTATCTCTTTTGTTAATGCTAGTTTGTATGAGGAATAAACGTAATAACTTACTGCAATAACGTCAGCGATCTTACGCCATTGCTCTTGAGATGGATCAACACCAGTTGGATTATGTGCGCAAGCGTGTAATAAAGCGATAGAACCATTTGGTGCATCCTAAAAATCAATCGATTAATCATAGTGTAAATAATAATGAAACAAAAGATTCATTCGTACATTTAATGATTTTAAGAAACCATCTATGTCTAACCCATTCGTCTTAGGATCATAATAAGCATATTCCCGAACTTCTAGACCAACATTATTCACGATATCTCTATGGTTGACTAAAACATGCATAATAAATAAATGTTGGTTTCAAGTCAATCATAAAACTTATTGCCGCAACGAAAGTAGCAACATCAGCATAAAAGAAAAAACATGGACTGACTCCAAGTGGGTTTTGATATCAAAACTGGAACATCATTTCGATAGAAGCGTGACAAGAAGAGAACACCAAGATGGTTGGCACCTGTACCGGAAATCGTTTGGCAGGTTGATACCTAATTTGAACAACAAAATTGACATTAATTCATAAAATCGCTTATAGTGAATGGCTGCCTAAAACCCTTTTTTGAAACTCACGCGATTCTCTTTAATTGCTGGGCTGTCGGCACCGAGGATCAGTTTCGCTGATGCAGCTCTAAAGGTCGGGAGACCAGTAATTGGAAGATATTCGTGATTTCTATTTGGATCATTTATTAGAATATCCTCGGCCTGCATGTAGTTATAAATATCATTTTTTCGTTATTAAAAATATAAATAATATATATATATATATACATGTAATTTTTTACGTAAGAGAAATTTTATTAAATTAATTACCTTTTTGACAACAGGCAAAACCCACGGTTTCCCATCATTATCTCTATAGGCGCCAACACCCAAATTGATTTTTTGGGGAAACTCATCACTTGCATAAACGGCAGTCAAATGGAAAATTTTGTCAGGTCCCGCGAGCGGAGTGTTCTGAAATAGTGATTCTGCCGTTGCTACAAAATTTTCCGCGTTAAAAAAATTCCATGAATTCTCGTTACTAGTCACATTAACCGTGTCGTAAAATGTAGCATTTTCTTAGTATAACGAGAACAATACATACAAGTCATACTGCTCATATGGTTAAGAATTAAGTTGAGTCGATTATTCATTGCAAACGGAGATTTTTTTTATTTTTAACATGATCAACTTTTTTTTCGCTTTATTTGCTTATCTCATCATCAATAAACATATTTGGTTAAACGTTATGCGCGAAAAAAAACCGCTCGGAAAAATCTAACGTAATTGGTCATAACAGGTCATATGCACATGAATGCTATTTTGAAAAAAGTGATTGAATTTAAGACTAAACAGGGTTACATCGGAACAAAATGGGTAGGCATAATCATTGATATACATATCGATATAATGTGGCATTTACTTCTTCCTATAGCATTCACCAAATCTGACGATGTCAAAATGACACGATTTTGTGAAATTTACTAAACGACGGATCGCGTAAGGTATTTTACAGAAATCTTCTATAATAAGTTATGTTTATTAAAACATTCATCTTTAGATCCATCCACCTGCCAGAGATGAACGAATGCCTCTACTTATCTATTCACGAATTCTCTTAAAGCGTTCATAAATGTGCGCATCGTCAACCCTTCATAATCCGACACAAGAATAAACTTCACGCCCAATCTCACCTCAACCTCATTATTTCGAATTTCATCATCAAAAAAGATCATGTCATCATATGCAATCCCTGATTTATTACGCAATGCTTTCATATGTGTCAGTTTCGAGCCTGGATAAATTTCTGCAAAGTCGAACAATTCGTTCAACGATGCAATTGCGTCTTCTTCTTGTTGCACTGGAAATGACATTAATGAGAGGATTTTGCGTGCCCTTGAATGATAAGTGAAAATATTAAAATAAAAATAAAATTAAAAAAAGAAAATTTTTTTCTGATGCCTTGGGAAATTCATTTGGAATGAATCGTAATGCGACAAATATAATCGATTTTCGTACACACCATTCTGGTTTATCAGTTCGAGAAGCAACTGCAATCTTGGAATTCGGGATATTCTTTCTGATAAAGTTCAGAATACGTGGAACATCCGGAAACAATTTAATTTCGTAATTATACCTAAACAACAAATAATGTCAGAAACAAAGCAAAAAATTAACTAAAAAATTAAATAGAAATAGTTACTTGTCTCTCACCGTGTGAAGCTCTGAAGGACTCGCTTTAAACGGCGGTTCAAGAGTATCAACCCTACGAATTATTTAGTGCTTGTAAATAAAAATATATCCGTGAGAAAAAAAAATAAAATAATAAACTTACCATAAAGGCCAAAGTGTATAATCGAGATCAAATATAAATAGTAAGGGTAATTTCCCGGAAGGAATTTCATCACCATTGACAAACAAATCTGAATCCATTTTCTTATCGTTTATGCAGTGAACCAACAATGCGTACATTTATTGATGATCATTGATATACTATATTTTTCAAAAAAATAATGATTTTCGCGTTGAAGGAAGAAAATTTCGTGGTTATTGATAATGGCAGTTGGCGTATAAAAGCGCGAAAAGGTGTTCCCAAAGAAATTTTTGAAATTCCCTCCCTTGTAAGTAATTTTTTTTTGCTGGCACCCAAAGAAATATAAATATTGTATATCAAAAATTCTCGAAACAAAAAAAGTGAACAAAAAAACTCCTTAGCTTTGCCCAAAAGAATTCACGTATCTTTTTTCAAGCTTAGGCTTATTCGTTCCTTCATTTACCTCCCTCCCTCCCTCTCTCTCTCTCTCTCTCTCTCTCTGTGTGTATGTGTGGACTGTGTTAAAATAAAAAAATATGTCTTTATATAGTTCCTTCCGACTGATAATATAGAAAAAAGAGCTTTAAGCAGCTCAAATGATAATAATAATATTTTATCATTGTCATCTTTATCTATTGCCGATACAAAACTTCCAACAACAAATCCCGTGAGTGTTTTTACATCATCTCCAATAATAGATCGTGGCGAAATAAAAAAATGGGATGAATTGGAAGCACTTTGGTAATAATTTCTTTTGAATAACAACGATTTTACTATGTGATATGATGATTAATAAATTTTCTGGCCTGTAAAATAGGCGGCACATTCTTTTAAAGGAATTTGGTATCAAACGATCACGAAATGAGTGCCCTGTTATGATTACTACACCAAGTTGGTGGACGAAAGAGCAACATGAACGTATTGCTCAGATATTTTTTGAGCATTTTAATGTTCCTGGTCTTTATATTGCCGACCAAGCATTAATGGCAATCTATGGTTGTGGAAGCGTAAGCGGATTAGTGGTTGATATCGGACATGGGAAAACAGGTTTAAATTCAAATCTATAAATTATTTTTTCGAATGATAATGCCTATATATATATATAAAAATATATGTTTGTTTAAATCATCAGATATTACCCCTATTTTTGAGTCAATTGTACAATATCATGCAATACAAACCTTACCAATAGGTGGACAGGACATTGACAAATATCTTCTCACCTTACTTCAGTCTGACGAACAACTATTGAGCGAATATGATGATATGTTGGATATTGATTTTGCTCGAGCGATTAAAGAGATTATTGGGGGCTTTCCTGACGAAGAAGAGGAGCAATCTCATACCGGTGATGAAGAGCGGAAAGAAGTCGAATATCTTGGGAAAAGAGTAATTTCGGAATATTTATAGGATCATTGATTTATTCCGATACAAATTTAATCTAATTATATCATAAATATTAGTTCACAATTGGTTCCGAAAGACTTCGAGCTGCAGAACCATTTTTCAATCCGAGTCTCGTTGGCAAAGATGAGGTGCCATCTCTGCCAGATGCTATTAATACCGCAATCTATAGTTGTGATATAGAAAAAAGAAGCGCTCTATGGGAGAATATTGCTCTAACCGGTGGATCTTCTTTATTAAAAGGTTTGACTTAAATTTTATTTTATTTATTTTTTTTTGATGTATTTTTCGCACGCATAAATAGAATAAATATTATATCGTTAAAGGACTCAAAGAACGCCTTCAAAAAGAACTCGAGGTTTTTTTAATCATGTCTGAAAACGCCGGCGACTACCAATTTAAGGAAGCGAAATTCATTAAAATTCCAGACTATCTAACAAACTTTAAAGAGCGACAAGATTTAGCAGCTTTTCTTGGTGCTTCAATGGTTGCCAAGGTTAATAATTTAACAGATTTAATTTTTGATTATAAAAAAACCTGTATTTGTATCTAATAACCGCTTAAATTATCATTCATAGCTAGTGTTTGGAGACCCTAAAAATTTCATTAGTAAAGTCGATTATAACGAAATCGGACCCACTGCTGTACACACAAAAAGTTATTGAGAAGTTCATGCTATTAATCACTAATAGTAAACTATGTAATGTACATTTGCTGGCTTAATAATTGTGGTAGTTAGAACTTCAATTTTGGAATTATTTATATGGAATTGAGAGTTCCTTAATTTCTTGTATATAGCTATAAAAGTTACTTTCAGCTAGAAATAGAAAAAAATAATAATAATAATAATAGATACCGAATTTGATTCAGCATTCCATTCTCTAAACGATATAGGAATCAATTAAACTACATCAAAGAATTCTCGCCGTCTTTACTGTCTCGAGTTTAATGTGTCTCATCATAGTTTGGCATTCTTTTCCTCAAAATACCCAGTTTCATCTTAAGTTATGAATTTCTAGCGTGAATATGGAAAAGATGCTTTGACATAATCAAAATATCGATTGTAATTAGTTTGGTTTTTCTGTCTCTTCCTCTCAAACAGAATTTTTTATGATCCAAAAGCAACTTAAGAAGAAAATTTTCAGGCAATTAATTCTCAGACATGATAAATTTGACTTACAACAAATGATCAAGTTTACGGATTTGATGGATTTGTCACTTTATGCAAGCTCACATGCATTCTTTTTGTAAAGAAAGCTTCTTTGTCTTGCGTTGAGTTAGCAAGCCCATCTTTGCCTTCCATTTTGCTCAAGTTTTAATGTTTGTAAAGTGAGCACAGAACTTAAGATGTGAACCATGAAATTAAAGAATGATGCAATGAGTACAAATTCTAAAAAAAGTTCACTTTCACTGCATCAAGGATCTATATGATAATTTTAATTTGTTGTAGATTTGGCATGAGAAATTCACTATAATCGAAATACTGAACGTTTGAGCCACGACTGCCAACGTAGAGACAACCCTTGATTATTATTTGATGTAGCAATTCTGCTTGTTAATATTCGATTTGAAAACGTGTTTTTTATCGATAACTAATTTTTTTATAAAATGCATCGATAAAACATTTGATATTTTTATTTATGCGAAATATTGTAATTCCAAGCCAACCGACCGTATTGGCGAGGAATGTGAAGTTAAATCAGCGACAACTCCCATGCTAAACAACGATCTTCCATACCTACCTTCCCATAGTAAACTTACACCCTAAAGAAAAAAATACCAATTATACCATATATCAAAGAAATTCGTGGCCCAAAAATCATAATTTGAATTTCATCATACTTTAATCTCAAGCAATTACCTTAGATGTCCCAATAGTAGCCTTTACTACACCCAATACTTCTCTTTTAGGTTTTGTGAACACAAGATTACTATCAGATACTCCTTCATCTTTGTGCTCATCTTTGTGCTTTATATCCACACTGTTATTATCGATTATTTTCTCCCGTTGCCACCATTCGCAGCCAATAGTCAAATCACTTTCGTAACTATATATATTGAAATAGAATCTAGGACATAACGCTAAATCATCAGAAACTTGAGCTGCGAAAGCGGCTGTCATATGCCCCATTATAGGATTGAAAAGATAGGTCACAGTAAGCGGTGATTGGTTGAGATGCTGTGGGAGTGTCCGATATCGTATTCCAGTTGAGACTGTAAGTTCGAAAAGCAAAATGTCAATCAAGACTAATAAATAAATGCGCCCTTCTACGATGTATCATGTAAATTTGTTTGAACTCGATTAAACCCGAACTACTCATCGGTGAAATAATAAGGTACACACCTCCACCACTTCTCTCCCTTGCTCCGTAATATACTTCGGCACCCACTGACCACTGGCCTTTCAATCCATCTACCTCTTCTTCAGCATTTTCGTTATCGTAGTCATTCGAATCAGTTTTTGCTCGATCCAAAAAATGTGGTGTTTCTGATTCTACGATGGTTGTTGGTTTCCTTTCGTCTTCTAACTCGTCTTTCCCGTTGTCTCCAGTAAAATTGTATAGCCCTTTTATGCCAAATAACGCACCTTCGGTCGAGAATGAAAATTCTGTGCACCATTTTTCCGCGTCATAATGAAGTTCAGCAGTTAACTTCAGATACGTATAACGTTAATAAAAATTTATAGCAAGTAAAATATAAATGAATCGAATCAAATATATACATGAGAGGCTGCCCTGTATTTCAAATCACTAATTCCTGCCACAACACATTGTAGGTTAGGGGAGAATCGTTTCGAGTACAGAGCTTCGAGACGTGTTGTTGGAATATACATCCTAGCAAACAAAAGATAGTCTAAACCGTCGTCGAATTCATCAAATTAAACAAGAGTGATGAAGATTATACTTCAAACATGAAGTGTATAAAAAAATCAGACAAATCCATCAAAAACCTTTTATTTTCACTCTGTTGTCTTGATCATCATTATTGTTTGATAAATTTTGCGGGGAATAATATATATTAAACCGATCAACCACTTCTTCAAAAGGAACTCTTGCACTCGGGTCAACTAATAACGGACGAGACGTGAGCAAGTATCCAATTGAGCCACTTAAAGTTGGTAGAGCATTCATGCAATATGAGGACTTGAATAAAGGTGTCGGCATTTTGGATAAAGTGAAGGTAAATCCAAACGGTGTTTTGAAATCCAAAAGGGCTATTTTGTGAAAAGACGGTCATCATGCGGAAGTAACTCTAGCAAAAACTTTCTTTGTTCTATAAAAACCTCTTGAAGCAGCACATAAATTGGAATATTGATTGTTTTCATTCCAGCCAGTAGTCTTGAAATATTGTCGTAGGCAAAATTCCATAAAATCATGCATATTTCCAAGCAACTATTGGAATGACAAGTAGCAAAGGCGCTTTAATGGAACGCGACATTATATGAGTTAGATAAGTAGTTTGTCCGTAACAGCATATTTAAATTTTCGGAATTTCTGTTAGGTACCAAAACATGTTGAGACCTAGAATATTTCCGATTACGAATACGCGTGTCAAGAACGCGTACTTTTCATTATGAATACCGTATTCAAGAAACTTTCATGCAAAAATGCTTTCATCAATTATTAACTTTAAAAATCCTGTCTTTCATTAGCAAATTGAACATTGATAATATTATTACTGCTGCTGCTGCCAGCAAACTCAATATTATGAAGAAACCCAACATTATTAATATCACTAATAGCATTATTATCGATATTCTGCTGTTGCTGCACCGTTTCAATATCAAAATTCACGCCTGACACACTATTTTTGTCCTTGCGTGGTAAATGGAGCTTTACCAATTCACAAATTTCCGGAAATTTTCCCATCAAGTCTCGATCTTCTGGTTCTTCTATCAGCTATTTAAGTGATCATAATTAATTAAGAACAAACTATCAAATCTTTCATAATCAAACTTATATTAGATATAGATATATATATATACCACATGTAATTCAATAATAGAAGTAGGACGCATATTAATGATTTGCAGCTTTTCAATTTTGGTCAATGGATAGTCTTTCAATCCTTCAAGGAGGGACTGTATTTGTGTAGCATTTTGCGAGTCAACAGGCGATTGATCTGATTTTAGATATTCAATTACCTGGGAAAATTGATTCGTTGCGTTACTTATATGTATTTTATTTAGTAAAAGTACTCTTTCTTCTTACACAATGTCAAGACATTTTTCACGCATGCAAACATTAAAAGAACATGGAAAGCTTAACAAGGATAGATTTCAAGAAAAAAACATCGAAAAACCAAACCTCAAACTGGATCGTTTGAAAATTTTCTGCATGTTTGGTATTTTTCGGATCCAGTCGGTCTTGTTCTCGTTGTTTTTCTCGCATTTCTTCGAGAAGTTGCAGCACCTCATAATTACTCAGTAAAGCGCTGTGGTGTGAACAGATCTTGTGAAAAGAGGTTTTTACTTTACTTTGTTATTAATAATTTGCGTAATAATAGACTATTTGTCATTTTTTTAATTGATTCAATTCACTCCCTACCTCCATTTTCTAAGGGTAAACGTAAAAATCCGGTCTGATTTAATTCAACTCTAGAAGTCGAGTTTTTATTATGACTCGGTCTAAAGTCAGACTCGGAGTAGTCTCATTCATCATGTGATACGTGTTTATTCTTAATGATCGTCGTCGTACAAAAATACCAGTAAAAAAGATAGTCAATCAATTAATCAATTTGGTGCTTTTTGTTTATAATAGGTTTCTTTGATAAATACAAGAAATATCATCTAGTTATAATACAAAACTCAAAAATTTGAACACTTAAAAAAAGTTCATCAACGCAATTACATATGATATGTATGATTCAAGCATAAGATGAGTTTAAAATGTAGGTGGTTGGATGTTCGCAATCCTTCAGAAAGTATTTTCATAATCATCATGTAGGTGATCTTGCTATAAGAATAATTGTTTTATATCAGTTCTATTTGATCACTTTTTCTTGTTTAAACCACGTTAATAATTAATGTGTGTGTGTGTGTGTGTAAGAGGGGTCGCCTTTATTTCTTCAAAATAAAGTTATTGTATTTGTTATTAAGAAACATTGTGTTGACCATCATCAAGGAATTGAGGGGAATTATAAAATCATGTGTAATGAAATCGATACGGGAAATAAAATGTTATGTTAATTGGGGATTATTACGGGGATTAATTTCTTATTACAATACTTCAATAAGGTGTTGAAGAATCCCTTGCCATATTGTCATCGTAGAAATCTGGGTTTTGAAAGAATCCTTGTGTCTTTTCATAATGATTATTTTGAAGAAATTCCTTTGCTAAATTCTGATGAATATTACCCTCCACTTTGAAATCTCTATTATTTTCCAATTGTTTAGTCACCCACTGGAATAAATCATCATATTCAAGTTTTTTATGCGCATCCAATGATAACAAATCATTCTTGTTTTGTTTATTCAACACATTTTCCAATAGCCATTTCATTTCTTCAGTTTGTTGTTTTCTCCATGCCAAATATGCATACTCTTTCAACGTTTCAATGTCAATAAATTCGATATTTTTTGCTTGCTGAAACTCATAATGTGCCACATATGAAGTTAGGATTTGACGGGCAAGTGTGAAATCGCCACATCTGATCGCTATTTGTGCATAGATACTTATGATTTCTGTGTCTTTGGCGTAAAGTGGAGAAGATGGGAATTTTATTAAAGGAAGTTTTAATTTGATAGATGTGATGGTTGCTGCACCGATTCCATCATTATTTTCTTTAATCTCACTTTCTGAATCAAAAAAGTAATTTTTATTACGCTCACGCCAATCCACAAACGACTCAAATGTTTGTCTTGCATTTCGTAGATCAAGATGTGTGTCACTATAATAGCACATTAATGTTCTCCATAGTGGAAAACAAAGTAGTTCATCATTCTGCAACAATTGTGAGATTAATGCTTTTCCTTTATGAACTAGTTCAGAATTGTGCAAATAAGCATTGACGATCGGGACATACCATCGTGCTTGGGTGCGTGGATTTTTTGTTTTATCAATGTTTTTTTGCATTGTCTGAACAATGTCACTGATACTAGAAGTGTCATTGACACGTATACAACATTGTAACATCGCGGTATAAATTTCTAGTGTCGGTGTTACATATGGTACTTCCCTCGCCATTTGAAATCGAACCTTACTGATTGCATACTGAGCTTCACTTTGATTTAGGGCAGCGGCATTAAATACAGTCTCATAAAACTTTTCATTTCTTTGAATTCCAGATTTTGCTAAATTATCCCAATGTTTCCACATGGCCTTATAAAGACCTGCGGATCCCAGCTGTTCCAAAACTGTTGTCACTAAGTCTGTATCAATTGGTAATTTTGAGTCTTCAATCAATTTCTCAATTTCAAAGATTCTGGGTGTTGACTTAGAAGGTTTCTTCACAACAGCTTCAGCTTCATCGCCTATTCCCCAAGAATCAATCTTCTTGGTGATTTCACTCTCATAAGGTGGCAGACAAGTCTCCAGCATCGAACGGAAAGTATCAAGTGCATCAACGTCATATCCACACGATTTCATCATATCAAATATTTCCAATGCATATTCAATACGTGATTTTTGATTTTCTGAAGCATAATTAATGAGCTCAGGTGATTTGGCAAATCCTTCTAAAACAATCTTAAATGTGTTGAACTCTGGTTGCAAACCTTCATTTTCTCGCATATTTTTTAGCATATCCATTGCTGTTCGCATAGGAAATGATTTATAATCTAAGAAATTGGCAAAAACTTGAAATTGTATAGTCAAATCAATATCCTTCTTTTCTAAACTATGCCATGTTTTGTAGAATGCACTATCGATTAATCTCTCTTTGTTAGATGATGGATCATCTGGATTTGCGTAAAATCTGCTCGCTACTCGTTTTCCCTTATCGGGATGAGTGTGCAATGTTACTTCGTTTGCCAGTGATTGCAAATATGCTCTCATTAAAATTTTTATTTTACTCAGTTCCGGCCATTTTGTTTTACAAGCCCAGTCATTCACCCAATTTTGCATGTTAAGAAGTAATTCTTTGGTGCGTTTTACGTCGCCTAAATTAGCGTAGTGAGATGCCAAAACGTAGATTGGTTCCTTTGAAGCCAATGTTTTCGGACCAAATTTTGAACTAGATTGTTTAATATATTCTAAGGCCGGTTTAATTAAACCTTTACGCGCTAATGCCCAAATTATTTCTGTCCAGATTTCCGGGTTAATTGGAATTCTAGAAGACTGCAAAAATTCAACAAATTCCTTTCCTCCTCCTTGATATGCGCCCATACCCTAATTATAACAAAATTAGTCATTCTTCCAAAATATCTAAATACGTAATAATATGTGTAGTTTACCCGAATTATCACTCGCCAGTTTTCATAATCAAAAGTTTTTGGCGCAGTTTCCAAAAATTCCCTTGCTAACTTATCGACTTCATTGAAATCCGGGAACTCTCCCGTGGCCGAAAACGGCGAATTGACAGCCCAAAAGGAGTATAGTTTTTTAGGCGAAGTCATGGCACGTAAAATGAATTGCCATAATTCAGCATCACATTCAACATTCGAAACTGGTAATCCAAAAAACGCATCTTCAGAATCAGGTGATTTAATCGGGAAAGGCATACGACCTTTTATCAATGCATTCGAAACGTAGAGTGAAAGTTTGTAATCTTTAGAATTGTGCATCGTGTCCAAGAGAAGTCTGTACGTTTCTTTGATTGGCACAACCTGAACTCGCTCATTTTCCCATGCTGTATACATTTGCTTTATTATTACTAATGCTATATCAAGATTTCCTTTTTCAATACAAATTTCCAAAAGCGAATGATAAAATTCACGAGATTGAATTGATCTCTCTCTCTTCATATTTGCGAATTCTGTCACCAGTCTTGATTTTTCCGAACGATCAATATGCCTTCTCATAACAGACAAGTAATAAGATTCTTTATCCTGAGAGTTTTTAGTCCGAAAGAAAAATTCTGGATCGTCATTGTCTATGGAAGGAAATAATATAGTTAAAATAAAGATGCAGAAATATTATAGTAAGGTTGAATAATGCAACCAATTTCCTTGTTATATACGTATTAATTACTTGTTGACTATAACTTTGCGCGGCAATGACGTACAAATGGTGTTTGACAGAAAGCCACGACTTGAAGCAGGAATTTTGACGTTAGATACTGTTAACTTTTTGTTGTTCAAAAATATGCAACTTTTTGGACAGATTCCCGACAAGAGGCGGTTGTTTTGTTTGAAAGAAGAGGCAAATGAGAGATCACGGAGAATACGTGTACGAAGACGGAGAAACATGCTAGAGGGCGGTTTATATATTTTCATCGTGTCAAATGTAACCGATCACCTGCATTTAGATGATTATCTGAGATTTCTGTCTCGCGTTTCTCTATAACAACTTGCACATGGAGGATAAAATTGAAACTGTTCTTGATGAGTTGTGAGTATTTTTATTTTGAATAGGAAATAAAGTTGGTTATTTTTCTTTAATATAGGTGCATAAACAATAATGACAATAGGCAAATTTAGTTGTTAGCCAATCTAAAGAGAAATGGACTTTCAAATAGTGGTAGAAATCAATAATTTTTAATAATTTTTTATCATTATTATACTCGAGTAGTATTTATTTAAGCTATTCCATTTATCCAAATTTTAATTCCGTTCTTTCTCTCTGTTCTCTTCGTCCTCCTATTATTGATATTAATCTTTTTATGATATTATGATATGATATAAGAAACAAAGCAGAAGGGGTAAAAGGTGTATTAGTGGCTGATAAACATGGATTATGCTTAGGCAGTAAGTAAATTTCACACGTATTTTTTACACATATTTAATATTTTGTAATTTAATGATAATGCCATACATAGCTCGTGGTATAGCAAAACCATCTTCAGCAGGATTTGTAGCTGCAGTCGCATCAAATGCCAGAGAATTATATCAACATGATGAACAGAATCGGCGACAAGGGTTAATTGATAATAGTAATATTGATAATAATAGTGGCGGGCTAATAACCACCAATAGTAATGAAGGTGGTGGTGTTGGGAATGATTCAAGTGGAATAACGTTAATAGATGATAATCTCAAAGAACAATTGGGACAAAATAATGGAATCGTCAGTGGTGGTGATGTAGCAGGTATTGGAGGTGAATCATTGCTGAATAGTAATAATATAACAAAAGAACAAAGAATTTCACCAAATCAGCAACAATTAGCATCGTGGTCGTCTACTGTAAAGATAGAGGCTGAAGAAAATGTGTAAGTTTCTATCTGATTTGATTCATTATATATATTTTTTTTATGATAAACTAATGCGTCTTTTTCTCTATGTATATTTCTTACTATCTAGGACAATACTAATACAAAGTGACGGGAGTTATACCCTTGCAATATTTAAATGATTTCAGTATTTTATCATATTCTAGCTGCCTTTTTTTAGTGGGCATCAATTTCATATATTTATCGAAACTCTTGATTGTTTACTTCATATATTTATTTATCGTTGATTAATTTTTTTAATTTTATTATTGTGTACATTTTCATAGATAGAAATACAATACAGCTTGTTCTGAGGAGTTTAATTCGATATATAAAGCTGACCAATAAGATCAATTCCATAAAATAACTCATTACAAATTTGAAAAAATGTTATTTTAAATATCTCAAGTTTTCAGTTTTTAAAGAATTTTATAAATTAAATACTTTTTTAATTATTTTGCTTTATAACATAAAATATTCAAAATATTTAAATATACAGTCAGCTTTCTAAATGCATATCATTGAAATCAGTGTATTTAAACAATAGCCAATAATATTATTACACGTGACTTTATAATAATAGCCAATCATATTACTATATATAGAATTATATTAATTTGATAAATTTTTATTTTGTAAAAAAGTTTTGTTTTAATAAGATATTATGTAACTTTAATAATATCTTGTCATATTTTAACTTGAAAATATTATTAAGATTATATTATATAAAATATTATATTATTAATTTTAAAATATAAGTTAGTACAAAAAGATTTGTATCTTAATATAAAAATTAATAATTGCTTCTAATAAAAATCATTCAAATTTTAATCAATCTTTATAATTTTTTTATATTAAATAAAAAATGATCTAAATTTACTTTTTATATTATTTTAACTATTCTATTGTACTTTAATTTAATAATAATAAATAAAGCATTATTTTACTAAAAAAAATTAAAATAAAATTATTTTTTTTAAAAAAAAAGATATTTTAAATATTATTTATAATATTAGAACTTCAAATTACACATACAGATTAATCTAGATTTGATAAATATATATATTAATTTTAATCAAATTTTATATAATAAAATTTAAGAAATAATAATTGAAAAAATTTTTATTAGTAAAAATTTTTTTATAAAAGATATATAATAAAAATTTTTATATTTAAATAAATTTTAATATCTAATAACTTAATTAAATAAGATAGAATTAAAATTTTATTTTGAAAAAATATTCTATTAATATTTATTTAAAATATAAATCTTTTTATACTGATCTATATATCTTTTAATATAAATTAAAGCATTTTATTAAATAATTCTATTAGTAATATTTATTAAATAACTAGAATAATATTAATTATTAACTAAAATAATTATTATTAAAATTTTTATTATTAAATTTTTTTATTAAAACTTTATATTTTAAAATAAATTATTATATTAAAATAATTATTTTTTCCATTTATTCTTATTATCTCTTAATAATATTTAATATTAATATAAATAAAAGCTAAATTTTTAAATAATATTTGATTTATATTTATTAATAATAATATTATTTTCTAAATATTTAATTATTAATATTATTTATATTTTATTTTTAAAATAAAATTTTAATTTTTAATTATAAAGTTTAATATTATTTAACTAAATTATATATTTTAATAATTTATTAATAATTCTTTTAGTAATATTTGTTAAGTATTAAAATAATATTAATTATTAACTAAAATAATTATTAAAATTATTAAAATTTTTAATATTAAATTTCTTAACTAAAACTTTATATTTCTAAATAAGTTGTTATATTAAAGTAATTATTTTCTCAATTTATTCTTGTTATTTCTTAGTAATATTTAATATTAATATAAATAAAAAATTAAATTTCTAAATAATATTTAATTTATATTTACTAATAATATAATTAATATTATTTTTTAAGTACTTAATTACTTATATTATTTTATATTTTACTTTTATTTATATTTTAAAGATATACTTGTATCTAAAGTAGAATTTAAACTTAAAATATCATCATCATATTCTTGATTACTATCAAAAGAATTAGAAAACTTAAAGCATTTTTAATACTTATTATAAAATAAAATTTAAAATTACTATAACTTTATAAGTATATGGCTTGCATGATATTATTCCAAAATCCTCTTTTTTGATCTCTTAATATTTAGTATTTCATCCATTCTTTATTAGATAAAGATTAGCTTTGTTTTTGAATTTTTATTAAACTTTAACTGGTATTTCTGCTAGTTGCAAACATGTTGATGAGACCAAAAGGTAGGATGAGAAATTCATAGTGGCCATAACAAGTTCTGAATACTGTTTTAGGTATGTCTTCTTTAATTTTGATTTGAAGATAATCCACAAATAAGAGGATTTTGTATAATAAAATGCAAAATGTATTCAACATTTACGATCAGCCATAGTAATTTCCGATGATCATCAGGATGAGTCATCATAAGATTTGCTATTTAAAACCCCGTCTTCTCGCATTTTTTTATAATACTAGTCATTATGCTTGATCTTAATCTATTTCAGACAGATAAGGGTGGAAACCCTGAACTTATTCGTGAGTCACAGAAAAAGCGAGGAGCCCCAGTGGAGATCGTGGACCAAGTGATAAATTTGTATGATGAATGGCGTAAAGGTATATTGAATTAAGCTGTTTCAGAAATAAAGTTGTGAAATAAGTTTATAAATAACTTGATTAGCCTATATTTTTTAATATTATTAGCAAAATTTGTATTAGACGAAACCAATAAAAAAATCAATGCCATTCAAAAAGACATTGGCAAAAAAATGAAGGTGAAAAATATACGAAGTATTGTGGAATAACCATTTCGCATTTGATTTTCTCTTGATAAGTCGAATGAATCTATCGATTTAAATTCATACTTTTGCTTTATGTCGCATTCGCGAAAAATTAAGGCAAAAGAAGATGCCTCTGAACTATTAGCTGAGAAAGAGCGACTAAATAATGAGAAAGATCTCAAAACAGGTTTTGTAAAAGAGAGGGAAGAAGAGTTAATGTCAAAAGCATCGACCATTGGCAATATTGTGCATGATTCGGTTCCTGTTTCGTTAAATGAAGATGACAATAAAATAATTCGAAAATGGGAACCTTCGGATCCGGTAGCTGTAATTGGTGAAGAGAAAAGATTTCATAAGGCGGAGAAAAAGGATGGTGCATTATCACATCATGAGGTTTTATATCGAATTGATGGTTATGATCCTGAGCGAGGTATTTTATATATCTTTATTTTAATTTTGCTCAATACAATAATCTAATGTGGCAAATTGATTTAACTTCATAGGTACTAATATAGCAGGACATCGAGGCTATTTCCTCTCTAACGATGGTGTGGATCTTAATTTGGCCCTTATACAATATGGGCTTTCTTTTCTGAGAAAAAGAGGATACAAAAAATTGCAGACTCCCTTTTTCATGAGACGAGAGTACATGGCAAAAACTGCCCAATTAGAACAGTTTGATGAGGAACTATACAAGGTATGTTATGATAATGAAGGATATTTGTAGTTCAATTAGGGTATCGGTTGATTAATCAAAGCAAAAATGCGTATGTTCGATAAAAGGTTACTGGTGATAACGATGATAAATATCTAATTGCCACCTCTGAACAACCTATTTCGGCGTTCCATGCCAATGAATGGTTTGAACGACCTTCTGAGCAATTACCTGTAAAGTAAGATTAAGCATTCTGACCTTATTTATCAATTTATTGAATATTCTTATATTTACTATTTTCCAAAGATATGCCGGATATTCTACCTGCTTCCGAAAAGAAGCTGGAGCACACGGTAAAGATACGTGGGGCATATTTCGCGTGCACCAATTTGAAAAAATTGAACAATTTGTCATCAGTACACCTGAAACCTCATGGGAACTTTTTGACGAGATGATTGCCACTTCTGAAGCCTTTTATCAATCGCTCGGCCTACCATATCGTATCGTCTCGATTGTGTCAGGCGCATTAAATAATGCTGCGGCAAAGAAATATGATTTAGAAGCTTGGTTTCCATTCCAAAAAGAATACAAAGAACTGGTTAGTTGTTCGAATTGTACGGATTATCAAAGTCGTCGATTAGAGATTAGATGTGGCACAAAAAAAATGGGCGAGCGAGAGAAAAAATATGTTCATTGTCTGAACGCAACTTTATGTGCTACTGAGCGCGCATTATGTTGTGTGTTGGAGAACTGGCAGGTTGCTGATGTATGTAAAGAATTTTAATTTTGGCCAAATTATCGTATTCAAAAAGTGAATTTAATTCTTATGATACATTTTGGTAATAGGGTGTGATTGTTCCGCCAGTACTTCGACCATATTTAGATGGACGCGATTTCCTACCGTTTGTCAGGGAAGCGCCAAAGAAAAAATAATGTGTATAAACACTTTGCTAATTTTAGAGATTTTATATCTAAGCTTAATAAAATTATCTAACTTAGCAAAATCAGCATTATTTCTCTTTTTCAGTAGGCATATAAAAGAATTTTTTGTTTGTAGATCCAAGAATGACGATCAACTGTCATAATTAATTTATGCTATCTATACATAATACATACATATATTTGATTATAAATTTGCTTTTTTGCTATTCAAATTTTTATTTTTCAACTTATTCGTCTATTGTTTTACAAAAATAAAGATTTCAATTAAAAGTAATAATGAGTGCACCAACATTAACACCTTCAATGCTGACGTTTCTTCCGGGACTGAAAGAGGCGATTAATTGTTGCCTGGAAGAATACTCCCTGTTACCAGATTGGACACAGTTAGTTGACAAACACATAAAGCCACATTTCACACAAGAACCAAAACAAAATCGAAGGTTTGCCCTGGAACAAGCTTTCAAAGAAAAGTTGTTTGAGATTCTAGTAAGTGTTAAAGTTGTAACCTTCTTTAAATCGCCACTTTTACACTAGTAGAGTTAGATTAATAAATGATTGCAAAACTCCTCTCTCAGGTGCAGATAGATAAGCAGAAAAAATTTGGTGAAGTTTCATCGCTACTGGAATTAGCGATTTTTTGTACACAAAATTCAGGTTGGCTGTCGATTTTCGAGAGTACCTCTATTATTGAAATATTGTCGAATGTGCAGTTGCGTGGAAGATAGGAAAGAAGATAATATTCACACACTGATAATCTCCATCATACATCATCAACCTACACACCGTCAATTTTCATTCAGTTCTTGGCGAAGAGCAAGACTGGAGAATTGTTATAGAACAAAAGGAAAAACAGATAAAGAACAAAGTCATCAGACAAACTAAATCTCAAGATAAAGCCATGCCGATACGAGGTGAACCGCCGTTTCTTAAGTTACCACACATACTTTTAGAAGATCTTTTTGAGACACAACTCATCGATGACTGTGTGGAACTGTTTACGTTTATGGAAAAGCATAAGTCACAGTTGCTTAAGGTGTTTATCGCTATTAGATTATCCGATAAATATGACAAATTGTTTCTTTTATTTTTTTTCAATATTGATTGGATTTTCTTTAATAAAAAGGTGCTCCTCTCGGATCAAGGAAGAAGTCTAGTAATAATTCGTTTAATAAACGAATTACTTAGGCGAACAGATAAATCTCATCATCTCGAATTCAGTAGTCGACTCTCAATATTTGCCGCAAATTCATTTGCAATTGATGAACGATCAGGTTAATCTTCTTTTTATCCTTTACTACGACCGGCACTTGCAAAAACTTCACGAAAATAATTATTATTATTTTTTATATGGATTCATTACCGAATCTAGCCGTCAATTTAAATGCGGATTGTGATGCATCGAATGTTACTCCGTTCAATATCACTCGACAAGGTAAATTGCACGTAATTAAATTTTAATTCCTCAAATTTTGACTAAACAAAAGATTTTCTTTCCAAAGATAAGTACAGTCAATTATACTCAAAAATATGGGGGCTTCAGGAATATTTCAGGAATCCTATGTCAAGTCCCGGCGATCAAATAAGTAGCATTCTCGAGGTATTTAATATAAAAATATTTTGCTATAGTTGAGTAGGTTTAGCGCGAATGCATTTTAATTATTTAATATATACAGGATATGCAAACTGTTCTTGAGGAATTTGAAAAAATTCCCTTGAAAAAAACTTCTAAATATGACGCCACAGAACCTTTAAGTAAAGACAACTCTCATTTTACTAAGAATAATAACACAAACTCGCACACGGTCTCCACGGACTCTTCGTTTCTATATGATGAAGTCCCTCGTAAAACGATTGAGCCGATGAATATTGATAAATACGATAATAATAATGGGTTTACCTCCAAAAAGCGTAAATATCTTATTGATCAAGAAGTGACTGAGAATATAGATTCGAGGAAGAAACCGAAGCTTTTAACGCACGACGATAAATATACTAATGACGAAGAAGCCATTCAATTTTGGCCGAAATTTCTTACTAGTCAAGTGTTATTTGGTTATCAGGTTCGTAATTTATTTTTTTTTATTACGGTGTATTTATTTGAATATGTTGTTACAGAAATAATATGTCCTTTTTACACTAGGTTTATGATCCATGCTTTCGTAGCGTCATTTTGCTACAATTCTATATCATAGCTGACTGTATGCCTAGAATTTATGCGACGGAGCGTTTTGGTGAGAAAGCTAACCCTCCGGCCTCACAAAAATTCTATTTGGATGAGTCACAAGTAAGCTGAGAGGAGATAATCATTACTTTATTTGCGTGGATATAAAATTCATTATCTTTTTCTTTAATACGTAATAAATAGTTAACAATCACCAAAAGCATAATTGATACAATTCAAAAACAATTAGAAAATACATTGCCTGCTTGTAAATCCGGACTTAACACAATCTTGCGAGTGATTAATGGCGAGAAACGATGGAGTCATTGGAAGTTTATTGAAAAATGTATCGAATTGACTCTTCCACCAGCAGCAATCAATAAAAAATCAAACGAAAAACGGAAAGAGTTAATATTCACTTTTATTTCTATTGATTGATTTAATGGGAATACGAGAATTTGTAATATCTCACGGATAAATTTTGTTTTTTATTATAATAATATAATAATAATAATAATAGTTTTTTGAACAAAGTTGTTAACCTCATTCCAATGGGCTCAAAGTCCCTAGATGAACTTTGGAAAACCGAAACCGGAGCAAGAGTAGAAGTCGAAACATTAACCGGACTCCCTAATGATACCAGTCTTGAACAGCTATTTCAAAATATGCGTGAAAATTATTCACCCAGTGAATTCGACACCCCTGATTGCCAGGTGAATATGTCGTTTATTTCATGTTTTTGATTTTTTTCAACTATTCATCACCATTGTGAATTTATTTAGCATATTAATCTTATATATTACTTTAGATGCATCGCTGGCATCTTTGGCGAAAAGCATCGCAAACTGAGCTGGCTCATTTTTCAAAAATGAAATTATTTGGGAAATTTTTAGAATCAAAGGAATTTTTACATTCCTTCAACCCGTATGTATTGTTTTGTAATCATCTTATAATAATCTATTTATCAATTCATGTATGATAATTATAATCATTGCGCTTTTTTAGGAGCAAATATGATCCAGTAACAGAGGCTGACCTGAATTGATAATTTTTTAAGAAGTTTTTAAAATACAGTCAGATCTTTTCAATTATATATTTTTTCAAGTGCAGTAAACATAAAGAGATTTAATCATAATTATAATTAAAGAGAAATTTTTTTAAAACTGAAAAATAAAATTATAAACTCATATTATTAAAATAAATTAATTATTTATAAAACGTGAATTTAAATAATTAAAAAATGAAATGCTGTATATTTATAAACAAGTTTAATATTAATTAATATAATTTTTGAAATTTTATTAAAAATGAATACAATACTAACTGTTATATTGAAAAATTCAAATTGAATAATTATAAAAAATCTAATTATAAAAAAATCTGAAAAAATTCAATATTAAAAGTAAATATATACAGTGGCGACCAAAAATAATGACTCGAGGGCTAAATTTATTAATAAAATTGAAAGTTTCTCTATATTAAAATTTTATTAAGAAATAATTTTTATTTTTATATCAAAATAAAGTTTATTAGTTGTAGTTTAACATATATCTGCTTCAGATTTTTTAGATTTTTTCTGAAAGAGTTGCTCTAATTATAAAGTTAAAAATTTTTATTAATTAAATTTCATTTTTAATTAGTAAAAATTTTTAACTTTATAATTAAAACAACTCTTTCAGAAAAAATCTGAAAAATCTGAAAA